TTGCCTCAGTTTGTCTTCTCTGAGCAGAGCAGGGACAATTGCATCTCACATGGGCCACAGGGAGGTAGGCAGGCTACGTCCAAGGGCAGACGGACCTGGGGCGGCATTGTGTGTGCTTGGGGATGGGGGACACAGGGATGGGACACAGACCACCCAGACATCACTTGTGGTCTGGGCTTGCTGGCCAGCTAGAGAAATGCACAGGGGTGTCCCTGCTTGAGGAGAGGGCTGGGCCTGGACTGCTCAGAACTGCCTCTGTGACAGGCTTGTCCCATCCTCCAGTCACACTCTTGAGCTGGGAGCCACCCACCCAGGGAGCTCACCTGAGCCTGTGGCCCCTCCCCCACAGTGAGCACCATAAAAGGGATGCAGAAACGCCAGGCACTGTCCCCAGCTGGCTGTGGCTTCCTGGAGTGGCCGCCATGACCCTGGGTGAGTCAGGATGGGGCTCCCAGGGTGGGATGCCTGGTGGGAACACGGCAGGCGTCCTGACTGCTGGTTGCTGGTTTGTTGGGGCTGAGCCCCTCTGCCCAGGGGGCCTTGGAGACACCTCCACCGTCCAGCTCCATGCAGGGAGCCAGGGCCTGGGGCCACGTAGCCTTTCTGCTTGAGAAGAGCATCCATCCTACGGGTCATCACACCTCTGCCCCGGGCTCAAGTGTCCAAGATGTGGAAGGGCCAACAGAAAGCAGGGGGCTGTGGGTCCCTCAGCAGTCATGGGCCTTGGTGAACAGATGCCCTCAAGGGTGAGAGGGAAGGGCATCTGGGCTGTGTCCCCCTGAAGTCTGTGGTGCCAGGCTCCAGAGGGGTATCTGGGAGGGAGACTGGCACAAGAGGAACTGTTCCAGAAGTCTTGGGCACCTCCTCTGCAGAGGCGGGCCCAGCTGGAGGTTTAGGGCCCACGTCATGGCGGTGGGCCTGCGGGCCACATGGGAGCGAGGCTGCCTGCTGGGACTGCAAGGGAAGTCTGATGTCAAACAGTGGCATCAGCTGAGCTGGCAGAGCCAACAGTCCCAAGGAATGCTGGAGGCCACGCTGCCAGGGGCTTGGGGCTGGGACAGGGGTCAAAACTAACTCCAGATGGGACAGCACTCAAAGGTCCAGAAGGTGGCTCCAAGCTGGCAACACATGGAAGGGGCCGGGCTACCAGAAGCTGGGGCCTTGCACGGCTGCTGAGCTGGAAGACTGCACTGGGGAGGCAGCAGGCAGATCTGGTGAGGACCGAAGTTTTAGCAGCTGGGGACTTGCTGCCAGCTAGGCTTGGCAGTGCCAGGGTGGTGATGTGCAGGGCTGAGGTCCTGGTGTGTCCACAGGGCCAGGAGGTGGCAAGCTGAGGGGTGGCAGCAAAGACTGGACAGGGCTACCTGGCTGTCCTGCATGGGGGAGGCGGCGAGCCTTGTGGAAGGCAGGCAGAGCCCACGCCTCCCTGAGTAGGGGCTGTCTCCAGGGTCTCTTGCCCCTCAAGGTGCTGGGAGCCCAGGCCTCACCGAGGAGGGGTCAGAAGGAAGGGCCAAGGCCTCAGCAGACGTGAGGCTGGCAGAAGCGCCTGGCGTCTGTGCTGTGAAGGTAAAGCCCCAGCCCCTCTGAGAGGGGTGCTTGGGTCTGAGAGGTTTGTACGGTTTGAGGAGATGCAGCCACCAAGCTTGGGGTTCCAGGGATTACAGATAGAAGAGCAGCTAGGGGCTACAGTTAGGGCTTGGAGAGGGGCCTGCCCTGGCCCCATCGCCCTGATCTGAGAAGGAAAAGGGTCTACAGATGCCTATATCTGATGGCTCTTGCAGAAAGAAGCAAGGGACTCCCTGCTGGCCTTGAAAGCATAGAATAGGCCTCTCAGGGTCCTTCCAGGGGCTCAGGAGATCAGCACCCACTTCCTAGGAGCCCAGGTTCTCATTATCCCAAGAAGTCACAGGGGCCTGGGAGGCAGACCCCTCCAGGACAGAGGTGGGGGGCTGGCCGCAGCTGGGGGTTGTACATCAGGGAGGGGTGGAGAGCTCCGCGGTCCCAGGAGCCTCTGAGTGGGCAGTGGCCAGAATGCCCAGAGTTGGGGTCCCCACAGAGGCAGCAGTGTACTGACTCGTGGAGCACGCACCTTCGGTCCAGCACAGGGGTTCGTGTCCAGCTGGAGAGGAGACAGGAGGGGCCCTGCAGCACCGTCCCTGGCCCTAGGGCGGTCCTCATCTCTGGAAGCAGAGAGGGGGCCTAGAAGGGCTGCACTGGGCTGGGCTGGGGGCTCCCTCTCTGGGGGTACCTGGACATGGGGTCTAGGGGAGCTGGCCAGGGACAACAGCCAGTAGCCATTGTCCGCCGGCTGGGGCTTCCCGGCGGCCTTCCTCACAGCCATGCCCGCCCCAGGCCTCCTCGACTGGGGCAGCAGGCTGGGCTGAGGGTTCGGCCCCATGGGCTGGAAGCACCCCCGTCTCCAGCAAGGCAGCTGTGGGCGGAGAGGAGACACAGCCAGTTAGGTCAGAGGTGGGCCCTCCTCCCAGCATGGGGGGTTGGAGGAGATGCTCAACCCAGACCCCTCAGTGAGAACAAGCCAGGGGAAGAGGCACCTGGAGCTCACCAAGGGGGTGGGGGTCTTGGTGACCACCCCCGACACAGCCCTCCCCACCCCCCCAACTCCCCTCCTCTCCCAAGACACCACTCCCACTCGCCTCCTCGTAGGCATAACTCCATCCGCAAAGCCGGCCGCTGGTCCTCAGCCTTTTGTTCCGGGCTGGGGTGCCAGGTGGGGCATCCAGGAGCCTGGGCCCCACCCGAGCTGGAGCCGCACCTGAGCCCCATCTGACTAACTTAGGGCACGAGATGCACTTGTGGGCCCGGCAAGGCCTCTCGCGGCAGACGGAGCCCAGCTGAGGGCCGGTCTGGGTAGGCCGATGGGGGCTGAGCAGAACCAGGTGCTAGGGGTCGCACCCCGCCCAGGGGGCCCAGCACCCTCAGAACCAGCTCTGGATCTTGACGCTGTCCGGGCCTGCTGTTTCCCCATCTGTCACCTGATGGGAGGGGCATGGTGGTGGTTACTCAAAACACCCACCTCAGGATCATCTTGGGAGTTTGATTAAAACCCAGATTCCTGATCTCTGCCTAAGACCATTCTTGAAACCATTTCCAGGTGGTTCTGTCTGAGAAGCACTGCCTGGCCTGGTCCAGCCCAGGAGACTCAGATGGTTACAGGGGACTTGGGGGACCAGAAGAGCGACATTCAACCAAGACACAGGTGCGACCATCCTTGAGGGGCGGGGGCCCTGCACAGCGCTCCCATACTCCTTCCTGCCCTCAGCGCTCCTTTGCCCCCAGCAGGGTTAGTGAAAAGCTGAGGGGTGGGTGGTGCCCGGGGTAGGGCGGGGGTAGGGCCCTGCCGCTGTCAGGCAAGGAGTGGCAGAGTTCCGTTCCTGCCCCACAGCCCAGGCTGGGCTCCTCCCTACGCCTAGAACCTCGGGGCAGGGCGAGGTCTCTCCCCTCCTGGGTGGGGCTCCTGGGCCAGAGCTGTCTCCTGGGGGCAGCCACCTCCCTCCAGCATGTCCGCTCTACACTCCAACCCGGCCACCACCGCACCGCTACAGACCCTCTGGGCTACAGCCATTGGCATGCCTCGCGCCTGCAATGGAGAGCAGGGCCTGGAAAGGGGTGAAAGTGTTTTCCGTCCCTTCAAACCCCTCACCCTTTCTGAGAACTAAAACCTGCATCCCTGCCTCAGGCCAGTGGTCAGGAGGGGCAGGGAGCATCCTTTGTGTCACAGGAGATGGCTTGAGGGGATCGTCCTGGTGTCTTGCTGAAGATGAGATGACTCAGAGCGGAACCTTTAAAACTCCGCACTTCTGCTCACAGGCAGGACATTGGTACTTGGAGACAGGAGTCTGCCAGCCTCCTCGTTTGCCCGAAAATTAATAAACCCCTATTTCCTTCTCCTCGAACCACTTGTCCTCGCTCTTCTGTGGCCTCGAGCACAAGTGCTGGCGTGTGGCAGGGGCACAGGTATGTGAGGGAGGGAGGAAGGGAAGGAGGGGGGATGGATGGAAAGCGGGGGGGCTGCCCAGGGCTGGGGAAGCCAGGCCGCACAGCTCCCCCTCTGCAGCGGTTCTCTCCTCCCCATGGGAGCAGCCACAAGGGACTCCAACTCTGCCCTTCAGCATTCTGTAAACACGTCCCATGCTCTATTCTTCAGGTTGTGGGTTTGAGCGAGCTGAGATATGACACTGGACTTGAAGCCAGGCTTCCCAGCCCCACCCAGGTCCCTTTTAGTTCCCGGAGCTCCAGCCCCACCCTCCCTCCAGCCAGGGATTCCTACTCAGACCCTGCTAGGCGTGTGTTCTTGCTACTTCCTATTAATACTTGTTTCCAAGGCCCTGTGCAGGCATCACCTTTTCTGGTACCCAAGGACACCTTCCTCCAGCTTGTCACTGCAGGGGCCAGAGTGTGCTGTGGTGGCCTGTTCCCTCACAGGCCAGGTAACTCTGCTTGCACAGTGTACAGCACTTCAAACCCTGGCCTAGTGCAAGGCTAGGCTGGTACAGGAGGGTAGTGTGGGCCCACCTAGATGCTGGGTAGACCTAACAAGTCCTCGAGGACTGGCCCCTGCCCATGCAGAGTGGGAAACCAGACCCAGGCAGCTACCCTGGCTGCCCTAAGAACAAACCTCTGTGGTAACAGAGCCCAGCAAGGGCAGAGTCTCTGGAGGGGCTGCCAGTGGCCCACCAGCTAAGGTCATTGGGATGTACGGTCACCAGCATGACGGGGTGACAGTTCCAGCCAGTGAAGGGCATGTTTTTGGTCCTGAGAGAGGGGCAAGTGCCAGCACCTGGTGACCAGTACTTCTCACTGGGCAGTAGGCCACTGACCAACCCCCACCAGGATGTGCAGGCCACAGGCAGCCAGCACAGCAGTGCTCGAGACACTTCGCACCTTCCAAGCTGGGACGGGGAAAGGCCAGGCACACAGTAATGAAGGATTAAACCACCCCCCACAAACACAGCCAGGCCCCGTTCCAAAAACAACCCGGATGCTTTAATGGCCTTCCTCCAGGGCCCACAGGCTCCTCACAAACCCGTAAACAAGGCCAGTGCCCCCCGTGCCAGCCTCTGGCTCAGTCAGCACTCCGCAGGAAGAGGTCCACAGCAGGCCTGCCAGGCTCTGGCTTGGGGAGTGCCACGGTCCGCAGTCCTGGTCTTCGGAGACCTCCTAGGACGGAGCTGCCACTCAGCCTGCCTGCTCCAGTCCCTGAGTCCCTGCAGCTGCGAGGCTTCCAGAAACACAAGTTTCCAGAAATAGTGCGTGGGGCAGCAGAGGCAGCTCAGGGAAGTCACTGATGCCTTCCAGGGGTGGCAGCAGCAGGCCCAGAATAAGGATGCCAGCCCCAGGCCCAGCAACAGGGATGGGGAGTGGGGACAGCAGGCTCCCTCAGGAAGCTCCAGGCTGGGACAGAGCAGGGCGGGTGGTGACTCCCGGAAGTACGTGAGTCATACACACTGGACAATGTACCACTCTGAGACAGCAAGTCCTATGATGCATAAGGACTCTACAAGGAAGGTTCTGCTTGCCTCAGCTTCCCATCCCAGGCCCCGTCCCAGGGAGGAAGCAGAGACCAAACTGTAACGGGTGTGTCAGGCATCGTCCCCACAACAACCCCGTGAGGTAGGCTGCGTTGTCCTATTCTACAAATGGGGAATGAGGGCTCGACAGGGGGGAGGTGTCTTGCCCAGATGTGTCTGGCTCCAAAGCCCATGTGTTTTCTCTAGGAAAAAATAGGAAGTGGTCCTATCTAATAAAGACCCTCAAGTTGAAAGCTCAGGGGCTCTTGGCCCAGCCTGGGCAGGCCCAGGGTAAAAGCTGGGGACCCTCCAAGGTAGTTGCCCTAGCCCCGGCATTCACTCCTGGCCCAGGACTAGACAGGCAGAAGGGAGGGGTAGAGTGAGCCCCAGACAGCTGCCCAAACAACACCGGCCACCAGGGCTACAGGTGATGGCTCTGGCCACCCAGCAGCTGTGGGCAGGGTGAGGGCCGGTCTGGTCCTGAGGCCTTGTGGCCCCAAGTGGGCAGTGCCAGGCCATTGAGCCAGGCGGTTTCTAGCAGGCCGCGGAAGCGGGCCCTCAGCATGGGGCCAGGTGGGCTGGCACTGGCAGCAGGGGCAGGTGAGGCACCACCGGACCCTCCCCTGGCAGTTGCCTCTGCTTTCTCCGGGCCAGGGGTTGGTGGCTTCTTCCCTGGCTTCCTGATCTTGGGGGTCAGTGACTTCCGAGCCAGGGCTAGGCTCTCTGGCTCATCTCTGGCTGTGGTGGGTTCGGAGGGGGACACAGCTCCAGCCTCAGTGTCAAAGTCACCTGGAAAATGAACAAATAGTCAGGCTACAGACCCCATACCCTCAGGTCTCACCTCCTGGCCTCCAAAGCTATCCAGAACAGTGGTTCTGCTCTGCCCCAGGCCAGCACGGCACCAGCAAGGTCACAGATACCTCAACTCTTCCCCGTATGTGCCCACTGGCCAGACCATCCAAGCCAAAAAGGCGTTTCTCCCTAGGTGACACCAGAACTCTATCTGACGAGGGCATTGCTCAGGAGAGGCTGTTTGGATACAAGGATGAGAGGGAAGGAGCCCAGCAGGCCAGGAATCACTGTCCTGGTCTAAAGCCCCAGTGTACAAGTGGGGAAACTGAGGCACAGAGAGAGGGCCCTGCCATACATGAGACCCGCCACCTGTAGAGCTGAAGCAAGAGCCAGAGCCCAGCGGGATAGGGCCGGCCCTGAAAGTGCCGCCTGGAGGGAGGTGGTGGAGGGCGCAGAGGAGGGACCCAGAGCACTCCTCCTGCGAAGGGAGAGCGCTGGGGGAGCACTGGCACCCATGAGAAATGAAGGCAGAAGTAACTGGGGCACCCACAGGAGGGTGGCCTCCGAGGATGGGGGGAGGAAGTGGGACAGGGGCACCAAACTCTAGCCAGTGGCAGGACGCTGGGCCCCAGTCACTTCTTACCAGGCCCCAGACTCTTGCAGGCTGGAGTCAGAGCAGGAGGGGACTGTGTGGGGTGCCTGGGCTCCACTGCCTACCAGGCAGACCAGGAAAGGCAGACATGACCTTCTCTGGGCCCCTGACAGCCCAAGTGACAGGGATAGGGCTGGGCTGAGGAGCTCTGGGGGATGCAGGACACCCACCTGCACTCCCTCTCACTCAGAAACAAAACACCCGCACCTGCATTTTCTTTGCACCCCCTTGAGGTATCTGCCCCAAACTCCTAAGTGTTCAGGGATCGGGAGTGCTGGTCAGCCAGAAGCCAAGCCGCACACCTGCACCTCACTGCCCGGAGCCCCGCACCCTGACCTCGGGCCTCGATTAGGAAAGGCCCAGGGCAGGGCTGCCAGGATGTGGTTGGGCCTGGGAACAGTTTCCACAGGGAGGCAGCCCAGACAGGGGCTGGACGGTGGGAACGTGGGGGCAGAAGGGAGAGAAAGACCACAGAGGGGACCTCGGTGCCAGGGGTACTGATGCAGGAGAGGCAATGACAGAAACCACCTGATCCCATCACCAGCGTCCTGGCTGAGGAAGTGCGATCGTACGCGCCTTACAACACTGCGGTTGTGTGGTCCTCCCGGACATAAAAAGAGAAAACCCAAACAGGTTGGAGAAAAATAAGCGCTAGATGTCATTTAGTAGAGAAAAAGCAAACCACAAAAGTGTTCTGACCTAGGAGCACACTTCTGTGTAAGTTAAGCGCCCAGAGGGCTGGAAAAGCACGCATTCAAAAGGCAGCGTTGTATGGAGTGGGAGGGTGGGGGCCCTGCCAGGTCTTTGAACCAGGGTGCCCTTCACTGAGATGGGAAAGACTGGGGGCGGGGGGAGCAAGCTTAGGGGAAGCTCAGGAGTGTGATTTAGGATGAGCTCGGTGTGGCGCAGACACCCAGGTGCAAGAGTCCGGCAAGCTGTGGGTTATGCGGGGCTAGAGCTCAGGAGGAGAGGCTGGGCTGGACACAGACAGGAGAAGAGGCTGGGCTGGACACAGACAGGAGGAAGTGATCTTAGACAGAAATGGGGCCTGGCCAGAGCCCCAGGAACACCAAGGGAGAAGCCTGCGCTAAAGACGGGGAAGGCACAGGCAGAGGAGGAGGGAACGCAGGAAGGTGCAGCACCAGGGGAGGCTGAGACAGAGGTCCCGGGGTCAGAGCAGCAGGCTCTTCAGAAGCCTACAAAGGATTCGATGAAGGCACTGACTGATGCCTGGGGGGGACACATGCGGGGGTCCTAAAGCCCACCTGGGAAGGCTGGCCCCCACTGCCCAGGAAGGAGTTCTTAGAACCACTCGGCCCGGCTGCGACCCATTCACACTGCGCACACACCTGTCACTCGCTCACACAGCTCCGGTGGCTACTGGGGCTGCCCCATGCTCACCCAGCTGGCGGCGTACACAGTCGCGCCACTGCAGGCCCAGCAGGTCAGGGTAGATGTCGGGCAGCTGGCGCAGCGCCAGCAGCTTCAGCATGCGTGAGGTGCAGCCGTGCAGGGCCCGCTCCCGCAGGGCCCGCTCCTCTGACAGCGTGGTGGGCCGCAGCTCCACGCGATGCTCCTGCAGCACGTGGTCCACGGAAGCGGGTGGCAGCCGAGGAAAGAGCCGCTCCTTCACCAGGTGGATGGGCACGAAGATGGCGCCGGCCCTCACCACATGGGGGAAGGGGCACCACTGTGTGTACACGAAGCTCTGCAGCTGGGACAGCAGCTTGCTTAGCAGCCCCTGTACACCCTGGCAGTCTTGCCACGCGGCCTGGCCCCAAGGCCCAGCTGTCTCAAGCCACTCGCGCAGCTTCTCCGGTGGGGAGTGGGCCACTGAGCCTGAGATGGCATCACACAGGGACGCGTGCAGCCCCGTAAAGTGCTGCTCTGGGGAGGCTGCCGGGGCAGGTGTAGATGCTGGAGCGGGGCCTGCAGCTGGAGCAGGAGCTGGAGCTGGAGCAGGAGCAGGAACTGGAGCCGGAGCAGCAACTGGAGCTGGAGCCGGAGCTGGAGCCAGGGATGGAGCTGGGGCAGGGGTGGGGACAGGGGAGGCCACAGCTACTGGAGGGCTGGGCAGTGCCAGGTTGAAGCAGGCCACAGGCAAGGGCTGAGTGAGAATCTGCAGTCCAATGGGTACAGATGTGGGAGTGGGGGTGGGCGGTGCAGGGGCAGGGGCAGGAGCTGAAGTGGGTGTGGATGGGACCACGGCTGCAGGCAAGGGTGCCGGTCGGAGGATCTTGAACTTTCGGAACATGAAGGCCACAGAGCTATGGAAGTTGGTCCTTGGCATGGCCTCTGTGGTCGCTGGCACCCCAGGCAACTCTGGGGCTTCTGTGACTATCTTTTTCAGACCTGGCAGATCTGACACTGTGTTCCCCACATCTGGCACATCCAGGGCTTCAGTGGGCTTGGCAGATACCCCAGGACTAGGGACCTCGACTGGAGAAGCCTCTGCTGTGGGCTTCCTCACACTCAAGTCCAGGGCCACCTCCTCCTTACGAGAGCAGTGAGCCCCTGCGGGGCCCTCCTGCGCAGGCAGGGTCCCCCTGCGGCCTTTGTCATGGCTCTCCCTGGAGGCTGGAGCCGAGTCAGGCTCAGCTATGGCCTCAGGTGCCTGCACATCTAGATAGTCACGATAGGGAGCCAGGCTGAAGACGTTGTCGATAACAGGCATCGGTGGAGAGTTGGGTGGCCTCGCACCCTCCTTCTGTGGAAGAGACTGGCGTTCCTGGGCACAGGTGGGAAGTGCCGGTGGGGTATGGGGAACCGGACTGTCCCGGATGACAATGGGAGCCCCAGGGTGCTCATTAAGCCGGGGCTGCAGCTGCTCTTTCCTGCAGCTAGGCAACCACGTCTTCTCTCCGACTTCCTGGGCCGGCTTCTCTGCAGCCCTCACAGACTCCGAACATGACTCGCTGGCTGGCAAAGGCTGACACGTCCGCTGGAAGGCACCAGGCTGTGGCACAGCCTGCATGCTGTTCTGGGAAGGTGGTGTCCCTCCAAGCCCCGGGGATGCTCCATAGAGAGAGAGGTCATCCCGGGCATAAGGAAAACTCAGGGTCTGGGGGGCAAAGTCCAGTGGACACCGTGGAGCAAGAGGTGGCTCCAGCTTGAGGCCTGGTGACGGTGCTGGGAGGGGGGCGGAGGGATAGGAATAAGTGTCCACCCCCACTGGGGGCATGTAGGGTGTCTGGGCTGCCTGCTGCCTCAGGTAGGGGCCACCAAGCCCACCAGCCTGGTACCCAGCACCCTTGTGGGCTCCCAGGGGCTGCAGTGGGAGCACTGAGCTGTAGCTGCCCTGCTTCTCTGGGTGGCGACAGGCTGGAGGACAAGGCAGGGCCTGTGGAGGTGGGGGCAGTGGGTAGTGGGTGGGCATGACTTCCTGGCAGGGTGGCCCCAGTGGCTGGGCTGGCTGGGTCCAAGGACTGGAGGGCCCCTTGGACATTGCTTGTTTGGGGTCCCCAGAGTAAGGACCTGTGTACTTGGAAGCCAGGAAACCTGTGCTGTGGATGGTCCGATACTTCTCCAAGAATGCTTGGCATGGGGAGAAGCTCACCGAGGAGTCTTTGCTGGACCCTTCAGCTGGCATCCCATGCAAGAAGGTGCCATCCAGGGACTGGCCCTTGCCAGGAGCTGGGGCCAGAGAACACGGTGGGTCAGCTGAGGGCAACAGAGGCCCAGTCACCAGCGTCCAATCAACGTCCAGTGGCCTCTTTGCTGCCCCTTCCCCCAGGCAAGTCGAGAGCCCATAACACAGAGGGTTTCGGTAGACAGGTTTGGGCGCTGCCAGTGGTGGACCTGGGTAGGAACGAGCCTGGGGACTGAAGGGCAGGAGCTCAACAGGGCTGGAGTCCTGCATCTTCTCAGGGCCTTCTGCTGGAGAGCGGTAGAGCAGGCAGTTGGTCAGCAGGCTGTCTGTCCGAAGTGGAGGTCCTGCCATGCCAGGGGGGTACAAGGGTGGGTATGGGGTCCAGGATGCCATCCGCTCAGACCCTGCCTTGGGAGTACCCGCCACGGGACAGGAGAAGTAGGCTTCCTTATAGCTGCAGCGGTCCTGGCTTCCAGCAGCGGGGAGCAGGCTGTGCCCCGACCCCGAGTCTGCCTCCAGGCGGGGCAGCTTGCCATACATCACAGGCCCCAGGGTCCCCAGCGGCCGCTTCTCCGCCATTGCTGTGAAGGCTTCAAGCCCTTCCGGGTTCCTGCTACTCAACTGCCGACCTGGGAGAGGGAGAAAGGCAGGACTGTCAGAAACACGGGCTACACGCAAGCAATGAAGGACTGCTGCGCTCACTGCCACACGTGAGAACCTGGCCCTGAACTGAGGCTCAGTGAAGACCCGGCATGCACGCGCCACAGAACCGGGCAGCTTCCAACCCTACCTGTTGAGCCACAGAAGCTTCGTTTAGTGGATTCTTCTACACACACCCCACCTCGCTCCAGGAGCCCCTTCTGTTCCGTCTCCCCACACACAACTGCCAAGACCCCTTCTCCTCGGGGCTTCAGATTTGTTGGGTGCAGCCTGAGGCGCACCTGGCGTGGCTTACCCTGCCGCCCCGTGCAGGGGACCAGCGTGTCCCAGGTCCCTAACAAAGGAGATAGGAGGAGACGCAGGACGCCTGCCTCCCGCTACAGGCTCCTGTGGAAAGACGCCCACTGCAGCCAAGACTTGGGGTCTGGGTATTGTCTACAGATTCTCAGATTTCTTGTGACACTGCCCTGACCTGCCGGTCTCATGAAAAAATGGCGTACGTCAAACTCAGGTCCCAGCGCCAGGGGCCAGACGCTGCGATACCCGGCTTGGCTCTGGAGGGCAGGCCCGCCACAGGCGACGGGGGGCGTGGTGGGTACAAGCCACGCCCCTCGGCAGGAGGGTCAGGGCTGTCCGGCAGATGGCGCTGTGGTGCCGGCGGGAAGGCCCCAGAGGGGAGCCGTGTTCATGCCCAGCCATGAAGCCGCACAAGGCTACTCCAAGACACATGGGGCAAGACAGCACCAGGGGATGGGGCGTGCGTGTGCGTGTGAGAGAGAGAGAAAGTCCAGGGAAGGAGGCCCCAGTGCTAGCTGGCAACTACTCCCGTTGTGTTGATTGAAAAACTAAGCGCCAATAAAGACTAAGACCCTAAGACAAAACCAAGGATGGGGACCCAGGCCCAGAGAGGTCAAGCATGGGTTTCCTCAGCACAGCAGACACCTAATGACCCATGAGAGGCCCCGTCTGAAGCCCATCTCCTAGGGCCACACTGACCTGCCTCTACCTCCCCCTCCCAGCACCCTGCTCCCTGAAACTCTCAGTGGCTTAGAAAGGATTGATCAACTCAAGCATCACAGGTTTCTGGTCCCTTCTGGCTGGTGGTCAATGACAGCCACAGACTCAAAGCTAGACCAGAACATTTTGGGCACAGGAAAGGCCAGGGTAGCATGAGAATGAACGCCCACTCCCACCCCAGCCTGATGCACCAAGGAAGCCAGGCAGGACTCTCAGAAAGAAAGGTGACTCATCTCCCAGACAGAATCTGACACGTCAGGCCAGCCCGGAGAAGAAAGGAGGGTCATCAGGGCACAGGTGACAGTACCAGTAGCAGTGTCCTATGACAGGGACCTGCATCCTGGGGGAAAGGCCCCACCTCACTCCCCAGGAATGTTGTAAGGAGTCCAACGGTTTTGGGGGTGCTGAGCCCTGCCCAGGAAGGCTCTGGGCTAATTAAGTGCTGGCTCTTCTCTCACCTCCCCCACATGCTCCTTGGGGCCTGCTCCATACCCACCCCCAGCCCCAGGAGTCCTTCTCTCCTGAGCTCAGCCCAAGAGTGCCCTTTGCCCTGGAGACTTCTTGAGACTGCGCCTGGGACCCAGCCTATAGATACAAAGCCACCTGGGACCCTGAGGAGTCTTTGGGGGAGTCTCCAGGGAGCCAGCGAAGAACGTTGGGGGGTGTGGGGGGGTGACCTTATCTCCTGTCACTAGGAGATGGAGAGCCCAGTATACACTCCCTCAAGTGAGGCCCCTCCCCTATTCGAGACTAGCCAAAATGTAGGTGCCTCTCTCACTGACCCACACACTGAGGGGCCGGCTAGCACTTGGAGAGGGCGGAGCCCAGGGAGCAGGCTCACATCACCCCTGGAGGCGGTTCTGTTGGTCCTCCCAGCCAGGACCCAGGGCAGGGTCCAGAAGAGCCCACCACGCCTGCCCCACACAACAGGGAAAACAAACCGCTCCGTGGCCCAGTTCCCACTTCCACCTCCTTGGGGCCTCGGAACGGACGCTGGGAGAGACCAGGAAGAACGTGGTTCCTGCCCAGCGGCAGCCAGCATCTGGCCTCTCCTGGAGGGCTGGACCCGACCAGCGCCGGTGTCCTCACACCTCCCAACCCCCCAGCGGAGGCTCCGGGCTCTCCAAAGCTACAGCCCAGCCCAGCCTGGGGCAGCCCAGTCTCCACTGGAGGGGGAAGGGTCCCAGGAGCGGCCTCCGCCCCCCTTCCCCTACCCGCCCTGCCCCAACTCTGGTGCCCCGGGCTCACGGCCCGCCTCGCTTTGGGGCTGCCGCGCACTGGACCCTGCGGGCTTCCGGGTGTCCCCGAGCCCCTCCCGGCGGCTCTGGGGCGCACGTGCACCCCAGCAGGCTGACACACAGGCCGCCGCCACGCATGCAAACCCATGCCTGCACGTACGTGCATGGCCCACATCTGCACGCACGCCACTCCAGAACTGCGACTCTCCTCGCTCGGGCCAAGGCACATGTGTGCAAGCCAGCGGCCCCGCGCACCCACCCACCCGCAGACGGACGCCCGCAGGCGGCGGAAGGTCCCGGAGCAGGGGCCGGCCTGGCTGCAGAGTACGGGCAGTTACCGCCTCGGGGCGATCCCGCCATCCTGGGCTGAGGCCAGAGGGTGAGTCAAGCGGTGGCGAGGAAACCGCAGGGCCGTCCCGTCCCAGCAGGGCGCGTCCAGGGCCCGCGGCGCCTCAGCGCCCGCCGCCCCCAGTCCCCCGTCCCCGCCCCCGCAATCCACGTGAGCCAGGCCCCGCGGGAGGCCCGAGGGCTCGGCCCGCGCTCCTATCGCCAGATCGGGCGCGCGAGCCATGCCGGAGCCCCAGCGCGCCACCAGGCCCCGGGAGCTTCGAAGTCCGAGGCCAGTCAGTGCCACGGCGCGACCCCCCCACTGGCTGCCACAGCCGCAGCACCTCGGCCAGGCCCGGCCCGCTCCATCCCCGGGCCAGCCGGCAGGGGCGCCCTGGGGCAGCGCCACCCGCCCCTTCCCCACG